AATATATAGATAAATTATAGCGGTATTGCATTCTCGTCATGACAAAAGTTTATTTATTCGAAAAATTCTTAAGCCTCCAATACGAAGTATAATTTTGGTACCATTTACAGAAATATTTTAAAATAAAAAGTACGTTTCCTAAAATAGAAAAAAATTTTTTTTATCATATCGCGTGCTAAATGCCAAAAGGGCGTATTACAGCAGTTAGATAGGGTTTTATGCCAAAAGGGCGTATACATTTTTTTCATTCGAGTTAAAAACACTTAAAACGTGAAGATCTGCAAAAAAAAATTTGATGTCCTAATGCTAAAAGGGCGTGTCTCACGATATACGCCCTTTTAACTTTAAGAAATTTTCGGCCTAAAGCCAAAAGGGCGTATAATTTTTTTTGGCATTCGAGTTAAAAACACTTGAAACGTAAAGATATGCAAAAAAACATTCTTATAAATGTCTTTATACGCCCTTTTGGCTTTAGGCCACTAAATTTTTAGTGTCCTAAAGCTAAAAGGGCGTATAATTTGAGACATACGCCCTTTTGTCTTCGGAATTTTTTTTTATTTTTAGGCTTAAAATATCTTTACAAAACGATTAGCAAAAAAAAATTATGCGCCCTTTTGGCATTTCGCACGCGATATTTTAAATTCTGTTATAGACTATTTCGCTAAATGTAGATTGAATAATTTTGCAAATTATATTTCTATCTCATTAATTTTTTTTATTTTAGTTCACACTAAGTGGCGATGTTAAAATTATTACCGACATAGTGGCTGAAATGTTGTTGAAGAAGCACATGAGAACACGTGCTGACACGTTAATGGCCTTCTTCAATAATGAGAAGGATGTACTTTAAACTGCCGAAAAATGACGAGAACGCCATCCTCATTACCTCGGCAGATATGCGGAAAGTTCGAGGTTTTTATTACTTGAGTAATTATATCGCGTGCCAAATGCCAAAAGGGCGTATTACAGCAATTATATAGGGTTTTATGCCAAAAGGGCGTATAAATTTTTTATTTTGCCATTCGAGTTAAAAACACTTAAAACGTGAAGATCTGCAAAAAAAATTTGATGTCCTATTGCCAAAGGGGCGTATCTCACGATATACGCCCTTTTGGCTTTAAGAAGTTTTCGGCCTAAAGCCAAAAGGGCGTATAAATTTTTTTTTTGCCATTCGAGTTAAAAACCCTTGAAAAAAACATTCTTTTATGTCCTTATACGCCCTTTTGGCTTTAGGCCACTTAATTTTCAGTGTCCTTAAGCTAAAAGGGCGCATAAATTTTTTTCTCGCCAATAGTTTTGTAAACATTTCCAGTGCCTAAAAATGGAAAATAAATCGTCCAAAGTTGACAAAGCATATATCTAGAAACTATACTCCCTTTTGGCTTTAGGATACTAAATTTTCAATATCCTAAAGCCAAAACGGCTTATAATTTGAGACATGGCTTTGGAATTTCTTTTTCATTTTTAGGCTTAAAATATGTTTACAAAGCAATTGGCAAAAAAAAATTATACGCCCTTTTGGCTTTTGAAACGCGATGTTGTTTTTAACATGCCTTCTAATGTATATTTCTTTTCCCATTCTAGATACCTGTTTACGTTTACAACAAAAAAAGGAAATTGAATTTATCCCAGGTGGACCGGACGACATCGCGATCCATTTACGCGAGTGGATGAGCGTTCTCATCCGACAAGTGCGGTGTGGATTGAAGGCCAAAGAAAGACATAACTAATTAACATGCAGTATTTTTAAAAAAATATTTATTTAACTATGTTCACATAAGCTTATTTGGTAAACCTTTTCAATCTTTAAATAAATAATAATAAACAATTAAGATTAATTTCGTTTCTTATTGTAATTTACACCGTTCCTTGCTACTTAGTTGTCCTGCCATGTTTTTATTCCAAAGTCTTTTAATATCTTCGGTACTTTCATCATATCAGCTTCCTTCCAAATAAATTCAGGAATATCTCCACATTTCACCAAACTGAATATTCACCGTATTTTGGCGGTATATTCACAGTGAATTCACTGTGAATATACCGCCAAAATACGGTGGATTCACAATTAAAATACTGTGAAAAGTGCGTGAATTCACCGTCTAACTACAGTTTACAAATGTCACAAACAGACGGTTTATTCACGGTGAATTCACAGTGAATTCACGGTGAATAAACCGTGAACTCAAGGCCGCAAGGATGTAAATATGACTCGAGTGAAAGTAAAACGCAAAAGAAAACAACACTAACAAAGGTAAACAGGGTGTCCATATTTCAAGCCCCATGGTTATCTCGGTTATAGGTGACAAGAGGTCATTTAAATTGGGGCAAAGTTGCGCATTTTGGAGCTTAATTTAACGCCGTCATGAAAAAAAAATCCGATTACTAGGGTAAGTATACTTTTTAGGATTCAGAAGATGAAAAAATGTTTTGTGGTTGAAAATTCACTTGGAACCATGATTAGTAGTATAAAACAATTGGAGTAAAACTTTTGTATGTAAAAAAATAGTAATGCTAAAACACTGGACAAATTTATGGAAACATGGGAAATTTTAAGGGATTTAATGAGTGACACATTTGGATGTACCGTGCGTGTTACCTAAATCTAGTCCTTATTTAGACCCGTTCGTATTTTTGCAGTCATTAGTATTTGAGCTTCCGTGGAGTGCACATATCGATTTATTAAGTGTTATTAAAGTAAAAAATGGGCAAATGCGTGGTAAATGGGTGTCGAAACTGTTCTGCTACCAGTTATAAACAAAAAAATAAAGTTTCATTTTTTTCGTAAGTAATTAATATTGTTTATTTTGGTCTCATCCTCGAACATAATTCGTCAGAAACCGGGCTGCCAGGCCCGTAATTTATATTTTGATGGTATTTTAGAAAAATATATTGACATTCGAGTGAATATTTGACAAAAATATCTCATAATGTTAAACCAACTAAACGTCATATATTAAATAAAATGACATTATTTAGAGGACACTAATTTCAATTAGTGTGTGTTTTACATGTGTTTTTATGTACTATACATATTAGGGTGTTTCAAAATAAGGCAATATTTTTCTTTTTTCAAATTCATGTGAAATTCTTGTCACTTATGCAGAAAAAAAATTCTGTCAAAATTTGTGCTTTTAATATTAATCTCGATATTAATATTAATCTAATATTAATCTCGATATTAATTTTAAAAGGTCCATCATCGAATTTAAAGTTTTTCATTGATTTAACATGGAAAAATAGTTTTTTAAGATTTATTTCGCCTGCATGCTATGTAGAACTTTTTTTTTGATAAACAATCACTAGTCCTTTTTTAGCATTAAATTATCTACAAAAAATCTTACAGAGTCCAGTCCAGTAAATAATGGTAACCAATATAACCGCCCGGCCTAACAACGTGCATAATGAACTCATTATTCACGTTGTTAGGCATCATGATGCTGCAGTGTTTGGCTGATTTCAATATTCACTGTTATTTGAACCAATCGGGTTTAAATTGGAAAAAATTAAGGTTAACAGATGTTAGATTTGTTTATACATACGAGGGGCGACTATAATCGGGGAAAAGTGAAGTTATAATAAATTTTGTTAGTGTAGCGGCATTACCTCCACTACTCAGGCAAACAAACACCATAAAAACAGGCAAATGTATAAAACATTTTAATTACAATTACGTCACAAAATGTACGGATTGTCAAGGCCCACAGTTCCTACCGACAATAAAATAATCCCACAACCAAACTTCACAATACCATAAACATTTCCTTATCCTTCGAAGAATTTCTAGCCTAATTAATATCCAAAATCCCAGCAATTTGGGACACTCAAAATAATGAGCATTATTTACTCGGATGAATTACGTCTCTCGCCTGACGTCTCGACACGCAAACCTCATCCTTGTGAATAATAGCCTGCATTATCTCTCGTATACTAATATACTACATATTATTAACATTTTAGTTTTCCCATTAAAATAAAAGGCTAGAGTTACAGGTTCATGAAAGAACAATAAGGAACTACCTTTATAAGGAGGGTATTCAATGTCGAATCCCTGCAAAAAAAATATTTTTAACTCCAGAGCACGCAGAAAGGCGACTAAATTTTTGCCACGAGCGTGCTAATATGAACTGGGAGCGCGTCGTATTCTGCGATGAGAAAGTATTTTACACATCCGGTGACGTATTATGTATTATCAACATTTAGTTTATCAGCATTTTAGTTTTCCCATTAAAATAAAAGGCTAGAGTTACAGGTTCATGAAAGAACAATAAGGAACTACCTTCATAAGGAGGGTACTCATTGCCGAATCCCTGCAACAAAAATATTTTTAACTCCAGAGCACGGTGAAAGGCGACTAAATTTTTGCCACGAGCGTGCTAATATGAACTGGGTATTCTGCGATGGGAAAGTATTTTCCACATCCGATGACGTCCATGTAAAGGTTTGGAGGCCCCCACAGACAAGATTTGATCCAAAATTTTTGCGACCCGACAGAAGAAGTGGGCGTATAAGTGTCGAATTTTGGGGGTATATGACGACCTGCGGGTCGAAATCACTGGGAGATTAGTTGGAGACGAGTATGTTACTATACTAAGAGATATTCTTGTCCCAAGTTATATAATTCTGTTCCCAGAGGACCAGGTTTTAAGCCTGGTCCAAGATAACAGTCCGATACATACCTCACGGGTAAGGGAATATCTTAACTCCCAAGAATTTATTAATGCCATTCCTTGGCCTGCTAAATCCCCGGACCTCAACCCCATTGAAAATTTGTGGGCAATTATGAGTCGGCAATGGATAGTGGAACGAGATCCCAAGAACCAAATCAGAGCTAATCAGGCATTGCAATTAAGTCTGTTGATTTAAATCCAAATGATTTTGTCATTAACCGTTCATGCATTAAAAGGACCAGGGAAAGATTACGTAAAAATACTTCTCTAGAAGTTAAGTCTAAATTTGGCGAATTCAATTTAAACTTTGTAGTTGCTCACTGGGACTCTAAAATGCTTCCAGACATTACTGGAAAAAACAAAGTTGATCGACTTCCTGTCATAGCGACAGATCTCAACGTAGAACAGCTTTTAGGGGTTCCGGAACTTTTAACAGGAACCGGACGTGAAGTGTCCTTAGCGGTGTATAATATGTTAACAGAGTGGTCACTATTAAATAAAGTTCAGGCTTTTGTTTTTGATACAACTGCTAGCAATACAGGTCGATTAAATGGTGCATGTCATCTGTTGGAACAAAAACAACAAAAATTGGAGCCTGATATATTAAATTTGGCATGCCCTCATTACGTTTATGAAATTTTACTGCAGGGAGTTTTTAATGAAACAAGTTTTGCCTAGTACCGGGCCATACATACCTTTGTTTAAAAGATTAAAAAATGCATGGAAAGACGTTGACCAAACGCAATTTTCGACATGGATGTCAGACAAAGAAGTTGAAAAAATACTGAAGGATGATGTCTGTCATATTCTGGTTTACACTACCAACAAACTTAAAGGAGATCTACTTCGTGACGATTATCAAGAGTTCCTGGAATTAATAATAATATTCTTAGGCGAGACGCCACCACGAGGTATACACTTTCGACAACCAGTAGCATACCAGCTAGCCAGATGGATGGCCAAAGCAATATATTGCCTAAAAAATATTTATTCAGATAACAACTTAAATTAACCAAAAGGGAGGAAACTGCCCTAAGGCGAATTTGTTGCTTTATAGTAAAATGATATGCTAAAGCGTGGTTTTCGGCTATGAATCCTATCGAGGCTCCTCTTAACGCCATTAATTTTATAAAAAGATAGTAGCTTACCAAATCGACGATAATACGCAAATTTATTAACCATTTATGGTATTTAAGTGAAGAATGTGAGAAGAACCTATGCCTCTTTATGCGCTATTGTTAGAGCACGTGGGCTGGGTCCTATTGCAAAAGGAAAATATGCGTAAATGAATTCTAAGAAGTATTTTAATCGATACGGTTTTAAGAAATTACGTGCTGAACTTAAAAGCTAGGCAAAAAGCACAGGTATCTATTCACTTGTAATACTGTGGGAATAAGGTATAAGGTAAAAGTTTTAAATTTTATTGTCAAGTTTTCTTTGAAAAAGTAAAAGCAGAATATACTAAACTATATAACGTAATTGACTTTTAAAACTTATTTCACAAAGGGTATTTTTTTTAAATTTGTAGGGCAAATACGTCGGCAAAGAATAATGGTGTGAAAAGCAATAAAGATAAAATTTCTATATTTTTGAATATATTATAATAATAGTATACTAACAGGTAATTTGAAAAAATACAGGTACTAGAGAATAATAAAATAGGTTTAAAAACCGTATACGAATAAATTTTTGATAATTAATTTTTCAAACGATTTAAATTAAATGTACTACATATTATGTAGACTTAATGCATAGATGCCTAACAAGTTAGTACGCGTCTCAATGAGACGGTCTCATAGTTTTCATATAAAAAAGAAAACTTGGAACACCAAATTATCAGTCGTTTTAAAAAATTTAGAAGCTCAACATATTCAAACATATTTCAATAGTACATCGAAATTGATTGTTAAAAGTAGATGCATTATATAATTGTTAAATATTTTGTAGTCATATTTACATATATGTATAATATATTTACACATCTATTTATTATTTAATAATTACATTATTTTTATATATATTTATTATTATATTATATATTATTTATTTTATTTCAGAAAACAGAAATAATTATATCTGCATAAAATGTGTGACTATTCGCAAAATACATCAGAATCTAAACAGACAATACATGCATTGGATTATGAGAAAAATAACCTTTTAAAAGAGGTCCGAATCCCATTAACGTTATCAAACAGTAGTTATTACATAGTGGGGGTGAATCCATACAGTAATTTTTCTTTATGTGTAAAACTATGTAAAACTGGCAAGGAATACAACGCCCTCAGTTTCAGCAACAACGAATTTAAGGAGTTTTTATGTATTTTACCCAGGGTTATTCAAAATACTGTAACGTGCATAAATGCCGTTACTTAATGTCATTTATATAAATAAAAATCCAATATGTCTTAACCTCATTAATTTGATTTTTGGTAACCTTCCTTTAAATCAGTATTGCCAATTCTGAGTGAAATAGGGTGTTGTGTGCTGGCAGAAAACTGTAGTTTTCTTTATTTTAAAGTTTCATTTGATTTGTCATTTATTAAGTATATTTTTCATTATCATAAACTACTTTGTAGGCTTTAAGTTGTAAATATTTAATTTTCGAGGTTTTGTTCGATCACTGGACTTTCGTTGTAAGGTTCATTTCATTTTTTTTTGTATAAATATGTATTATATTATATTATGTTAATTATAAGTATAATTTAAGACTGATTTTGTAAAGACAAAGTGAGTTATGCAATTACCACCAAGTTAATCTCGTGTAATAATTTTCATTAAACTGGAATGGTTGGAACAAACCTATAGAATTACCGTTGGCAACCCTTACGTTGCTCTTATCACTATTGCATTCTGTCCTTTGGCTTTTGACATCTGACCCGGATAGGCCACAAAATGGCAATCTAGTGCCATCAGTTCTATTAATCAATACTTTAAGTGATATTTGCCCACTACGAGGCCACATAACAGCTAAGGTATTTATTTATATTTGATTTGTTTCATTTAATTTACGGTAATTCCAGTTTTGATGTTTTTGAGGTTGACTAACCTAAAAATCATAACGAGCATTTTGTTTTTTTTTACTTTGTAGGCCTCTACCTTTGACTCTAACTCTGACTTTAAGTCTGATTCTCAGTCTCAGATCCTGCTGGATTTTGTCAGTTCTGTTTGTTTTTCTCAAGTCTGACTGTATTCTGTAAAATCGTAAAGGATTTGGTTTTATTATATTATGTTTTAAACCTTGTATATTCAAGTTGAATAATTCAACCATAATGGGGATTTAGAAAATCTGTTAAGTTTCAAGTTTTGTATGGAGAGAAGTCCACCGATGTCACATTTGACCAGAGAAAAGTTGTAAACATTTGGAGCATCGTTAGCAAGTTACTTTTTCAAGAACGAAAAAAGAACTATATAAAAATTTCACTAGTGTTTTGTTACTGTTAGTAACTCATTAAGGTAAACTGCAGTTTCCATTTTGTTAATTTAACATATTGTAAAATTTCATCAAATATTTAATTTCAAATTTTATTCATAACTTTTTCATTTACATTTAATAATAAAACTTTAACTAAATCGATTTGATGAAATTTATAACATATTATATATTACAATTTTTTTAAAGAATTTTAAACTACATTATTTTTCTATCCAATTGTTGACAGACAGCTAAATGTGAGTAACCATTTTATGTAACGTTAATAACTCATACAAAATTTATTGTAAATATATCTAAACATCTGGGTACATCCTTGACATTTTTATTTTTTTATTGTCCTCCACATTAACAATAATTTAAAGCCTCACTTAAAATAGTTTTATTATTTTTATTTTTATAATTGGTAACATCTACAATATAAAAAATAATTGGAGCCTAACAATTAATTTTCAATATTTTATTTATTATGAATATATGAATACCTCCATAAAACTAATCCACAACCTGCTCACGAAGACTAGCTGAGTACAAGCCGGCAAGTGTAACCACAGAAAGGTGGAAAAGAAAGTACGGTACAATACCAATAATGGAGATGAGTTAGAGGTTTCCAACTACGTGATAAAAACAATGCCGGCCAATAATGTAAAAATAACAAGAAAATCATCTGGAAATTATGATATTTTCCAAAAATCAACTCTGGATAATCTATTGAAGTTAAAATCCTTTCACAGTAATATTGTCGACGAATATGAAACGTTTAATTCAATCTTAGGTGACATAATCGTTGAGATCTGCCGTGATGATGGACATTTTTACAACACAAACATGTTCAAATCTTCTATAGAAGCCAAACCAAGATATATTAACCATATGATTTGGCTTGAATTGGTATATAAATTTGATTATTTTTTAATAATATAGGACGTAAGTTAAATGAAATTTTAGATAGTAATAGATTTTATATTTAATTAGGTAGCTGTTAATAATGTAAATAATTTAAATGTAATTATATAAAAATTATATTAAAAAATGATTATTTTATATATAATATTATAGGACGTAAGTTAAAATGAAACTTTAGATAGTAATAGATTTTATATTTAATTAGGTAGCTGTTAATAATGTATGTAATTATAAAAAAATTATAATAATAAATTATATAAATAAATTATATTAAAAAATAATAAAGTAATTAAGTTTGAAAAAACTTGTTTGATTATATCCTTTTAAAACTCACCTCATCATTTTTATTTAGCTTCTATGATAGGTAAGAAATTTTGGGACACCCTGTATATATATATATATATATATATATATATATATATGGTATAACTGGGCGTCCCCTGTGTAAAATTGTAGGTTTACTGAGCGTCCGAAGTCACCAGGCGTCCGATAAACGGACGCTCACTGACCATTTCTTAAGAATCTGCTTAAATAGTATCTTTGGTTGCATAGATTATTTTAAAATAAAAAATAGCTGGACGCCCACTTGCCGGTTTTTTGATTAACGTTTATAGTGTAGTTCAGCTTATTTCCGCATAAAGGCGCTACGACCCCAAGATTTATAAACACGGTGTTTATATATTTACTGCAGCGGTTATCTGGGCGCTACTTTTACGTACTACCACATTTTTTAACTTCGTTTGCAGAATTTATTTTGTTTAGCATCAGTTATTTCAGTTCTGCTTAAACAGTATTTATTAAATTAAAATTTATTTGTGGATAAAAAAAGAACTATAGCGATCATAGGTTTCCAGATTTTGTCAAAAAATTGAACATAGAAGTTGTCAATTTGACTCTTCTTTAGTTTTTGACCTTTAATACAATTTAGACTATTTGGCTAGCTCATGATGGATATCTTCTGTTATTAAAGTTATTATAATTAGTTTCTTAATATTTCCTTAAATTTCTTGTATCTCATATTTGTTAGTATATTTTTTTATCATCATTGTTAATTGTATAATTGGTTATTAGTCTACGTGTATAATTAAAGTAAATTCAAACAAAATGTCCATTTTTTTATAAAATGTCCATTTTTTTATAAAATCTCCCTCCATCTGTCACCTTAATAGTTTAAAATATTTATATATGGTATATTGCAATTTAGTCAGACCTATAAAACTATATAAACTTATAAACTATATATAGCTAAGTCCAAATGTCAAAACTAAAAATTGAATCAAGGGACTCTAGTTTTGACATGATTTGATGATTCTACATACATAATATTTACATACAGGGT